CCCCAAAACCCCAAAACCCCAAAACCCCTTAAGCTAATATAAGTTATAAAATTTGAGCGGATCAAATAAATGCTAATAATAGCGATAATATAAGAGAGTAATTATGTGTCAGATGTGTATGATATATATTTGAAATTTTAAGAATTTTTAAATAAAGAGACTAGCTCTCTAAGACGAGGAGTTTGAGCCTCTAATTTGCATTCTTCATGTGAAGAGTGAGTGGTGAGCGTTGGTGACTGTGGACATAGTGTTAATTTTGAAGTATTTGTATGAACCTACTTGTGAAACACCTTCAATTGGTCCCCAGTTGGTGAATGATGGCTCAGCATCATAGAACCATGTGTTGCAGAGATGCTTAAGGTGGTAGTTATCCAAATGAGCAACTCTCTTGGCAACTTCGCTTCTGGCGACTCTTCTGTTAAGATAAAGGACTTGAGATCCGATTTCTTAGGCAATTTCTGAAGGAGCCTCCTTTCTGAGAAGTCTATTGTAGAGTGAGTTTCTTCCTCTGAAAACCTCTACATCGTTGAGGTAGTGAGAGTAGATTGTTGGGAGACAAACTCCACAGTAGTTCATTTGTCTGGTGAAGACTTCGTTTCCATAGAAATAGTTACCCCAGATACCGCTGTCAGAGTAAGCGTAGTAGAGGGATTGCTATCTGGTAACATCTGGAAGATCTCCGAGGAGAGCGTGCATTGAGTTGTATTGCTTTTTTACATCATTCAAGTGCTCAGCATTTTTATCAATTCTGTAATCACCAAACATATTTTACAAGAGGAGGAAAGAATAGTAGTCTGGGTCTTTGACTGATGGAGCATCGTAGAAAACTGCAACATTTGAGTTGATCATCTCATCGTCTCTGATGAAAAGAAGAGCTGGGTTGAAGACTGACTTTTCCTTGTTCTTAATCTTTGAGGAAGTTTACTTGGGGAGAGATGCAAAGTGTTGGTTAACTTGGGCGACAAACTCGTCGTGGTTAATGTTACCAGCTCCAACAACAACGATGTTGTCACCGAAGTAGTTAGTTGAGTGGAACTCTCTCAAGTGATCAGCTTTGAGGTTTTAGAGAACATCTCTGTCTCCCTTAATTGGTTGTCCCATCATGTGTTCTCTGTAAACATTGAAGTGAGCGTTTTCAATGGTGGTCTCGAAGTATCTGTGATCACTATCTTCATGCTCTTGTGAAACTTCTTCCTTAACGAGCTCTAATTCATTCTCGTTAAGGACTGAATTGCTGACGGCGTCTCCTAGAATTCTTACTGCTTTGTTGACATCATTCTTGAAAACTTGGAGGGTGAAGTTGGAGACCTCTCTTCCAGTAGTATTTGATTGAACGGCACCAATGCTATCAATGGCATCAGCAATATCAGTCTTTGATCTGCTAGTGGTACCTCTGAAGAACATCTTTTCGAGGAGATAAGCAGAGCCTGAGGTTTCCAAGTCTTCGTGTCTTGAACCAGCTCCAACGAACACTCCAACACTATTAAGGTTAGGGATCCTAAGAAATTATACGTTGCGGTTTAGTGGCTAGTTCTCTCAGTGCAAACTCTGATTCCATTGGAAAGAGTAGTCATCTCTATAATAATAAATAAGAATTAAAGAGAAAGAAGAAAAAGTAGCTTACAGAAAGGTCTGACATATTTAAGTGGTTCAGGGATCTCGCCAAAAGCCAATTCACCGAAGTTGCCCATAATTGGTGCTTTTGAGAACTGTAAATGTTGATCCTTAGGTTGAACTCTATACATTTCAAATTATTTTTGGCTCTCTAATCTAAGATACCTACCCGAAATCTTGATCGACGTTTGATCTTCTCAAGGCGTCTTCATCTCTGTTTTAATTGGCAAGAGTTCTGACTGCACAGCAGACGACTTACTATAGCACGTTATGAGTGACTTGTTTTAGTGTATTTGGTGACTTACTTGGTTTGACTTGACGCTTCTGGCAAGGCCTTTAGAGATCTTTGACAACATTGCAATAAAATTATTATATTTCACAATTCTTCATACCTATATATTCATTAGATATTAATTAATTAAGAAGTAATCATTAACTTAGTGGTTTGTTTGAGAAATAACTAACTATTAGTTAAACTTTAAACTATTATTAAACTTAAATATTCTGCCTAAATTATAATTTGATAATGGCTTCGTAATCTCAGCAACAAGCTTTTGATTTAAAGATTGACATTGGACTTGTAGGAAATTCTGATGTGGGCAAGACTTGTCTCATATAAAAATATTAATATCAAGACAATTACTAAATTCCTCTCAAAAAGCAAACAACTTTAGGTATTGAAACTAAAGTAGTCAAATTGAAAATTCAAGGGTAGATGGTTAAAGTTGTATTATGGGACCCAGCAGGTCAGGAGCGCTTCGAATCAATGACGAAACAGTTTTACTAGAATTTGGATGGGGTGATGCTAGTCTTTGATATGACAAATGAAAAATCCTATAATAATCTGACCAAATGGCTAGGCTAGATTAATGAGATCAGACCTTGCCCTTATGTTATTACAGCAAATAAAGCAGATCTTGAAGAATAAAGAATGATTTGTGATGAATAAGTTGAATTAATTGAGCAGAAGTTCAACACTCAGTGCATTTTAACAAGTGCAATGACTGGATAAAATGTCGAGGAGGCTTTCAATACACTGATTAACACCATTATTCAGATAAAATTATAAAAGCTTCACAAGACTGGGTCAACTGAACAGAACTCTCCAACAATGACAAGTGCATCATAAAAACATAAGAATAGTAAGATAGTAAGGAAAGGTAAAAAGAAGGAGTCTAAGTGCTGCTGATTAGCTTATTTAGTTTGGCTCTGATATTGCCAAGTGATCTTAATATAAACTAGGAATCTAGTTAACATCAAAGTTATATTAACTTGAAATAACATAATATACAGATCTTATGGTAATCTACTATATTGATAATTTTTAATCAGATTCTACACACTCCTCTTTTACCTAAATGCTCTAATTATGGGGTTTTGGGGTTTTGGGGTTTTGGGG